GAACATCTAAACTACTGATTCTCCCACTTCTGCTTTATTGTTAAAGAACTTGCTGCAATTTTTCTGGTGCTACTTAAGGTAAGTTTTGTAGACTCACTAAAAAAGTGAAGTGTTTTCTCTATGCTAGGATGCATCCCAGATCAAAGCCTCAAGTGCAAATGCCATGGAGATTTGTGTATTTGTGTGTGTGCACATTCAGAACTGAAATCTTGTCTTCACACTTGAAGAGCAGGAAGGGCTGATGTCGTCAATGAGTTCAGTATTGTGGATTCCGATGCTGAAAACTAAATATTGTGACTGGAGTTTTCATAATTTGGAAGTTATTTCTTGGTCTCACCACAGGTTACAAATATATACATACTTCAAATGTATTAACATCAGAATTTTTGTTACCATTTAATATAGTGTTGCTTTATATTTTCCTGTTTTCTCCAGGTGCTACTGCTCGGGTGTGGTCTAATCCCATTGTGTGCTAGCACCATTAGATGTTTGATCTTTGCAGAACATCTTTTGATCTCATTATGGTTTTTTTTTTTATTTGCTTTATTTCAGGAGTGGCCAAGAGTGGGAGAAAGCTGTTAATTGCACTTTCATGGCTTAATATACTCCTGAGTACAGGATTAAGCACTGGTTAAGAATCCTTTCCAGAGACAGGTTCATCCAGTCTCCCATTCAAAGCACATGAAATCCATGTCAGTTTTTACATTAAGTTTAGAGGCTTTTGGCTTGCCCCGTGAGAAAAAGAAAGCTTCTGGTGGAAATTACAACTAAGTGACTCTGCCAACTTTCAGAATAAAATTCATGTAGGTCAACTTGCCTGGCATAGCAAAAGAGAATCATAACTCTTGTTTCTTGTGTGTTTTTGACACAAAGATGTCTGTGCCAAAAGAATCTAAAGTAGCTTTACTACAAGTCAGAGCATCACTTCTGATCAAAAAGGGACTGAATCCAATAAGTTCTGAGTCTTTGACAAAGATCTCTGCCCTCACACTCCACTGCAAGATTCAGATCCAAATTAGAAAATTAGCTGAAGCCATTACAAAATCATTTATCATATGAAGTTGCTGGGTGTAATAAGTGGCAGTAAGTTATCTAGCATACCTTTATACTTCATCCTAATTTTCCTTTCCTACAGCATTTGAGCTGTGCTGTTCAGCAGACCTTTCTTATTGAATACATATACTTCAAATGCAGAAGATGTATTTCTAGCAACTAAATGCAGTCATTTAAGTGAAATACTGTAATGAATATACTGGAGAAAGAATGAAGATAAGGATAGAAGATGTAAAGTGTGTATTTTTGGTAGCTGATTCTATTCTGAAAATAAGAAAGTGAGAAAATATATGTAACTGTGTGTTGGTTAGTGTGTCTTGGAGCGGTAAATCAGTTTTCCATTCCGGTCTTTGTCATTCACACAGATGTGGCCTGAAGAGCGGAGGAAGGAGCTTCATTGTTTGCCATCTAAGAGACAAGCAAGAAATGACAAGAGTTACTTTACTTGACTGGCAAATTCCCAACATTGCCCTTATCAGGTGCTTCCAGGATACTCAGCAGGGTATTACATAGGAGACACCTACGGAGGGTGGCTGGAAGGAAGGTCAGTAATAACTGAGGTCAGGGTTAAACAGAGATGGAGGAGGTCCCTGCATTGGTGGACCTCACCTCCTGCAAGTTCCTGCAAAGAGAGTAAGCCCACAAACCTACTGAGTCAGGGGCCAGTGGTGCCTCACCACAGTCACAGAAACACCATGGGAGTAATCTGTGACTGAGAGCTCAAGAGTTTCCATAGCAGAGCCTCAGAGATTCAGGGCACAGCATGAATTTATATGCTGACAAGGACCTTGCCTCACTAAATAAAAAACTGCACAGAAAAAAACAATTGTAATAGCAGTGGGAACATGACTACAGTGAACAGTTGCAGAAACCCTAAAGGACCAGTATTATGAGAACTGTGTTGCCTCATTTTTCTTCTTCTGTATCTTCTTGTTAGCTCTGAGTTAATTATTTTTCTCCCAAAGAGTACTGGGCACAGCAAGGAGTACCAGAATGAGGTGACAGTGCCAGAGTGCTAGCACCTGGAAGGAGACTGAAGATGCCTGGAGGCTGATCCACTGCATGTCAATAAGATGAGCTATTGAGTCTTCTATGGGATTTGACATACAGAAGAAAGGAGTAGGCTTCAGGGAAAGAGGGAATTGTAAAAATTATGTAAATTTCAAAGGAAAAAAATGATACCAGGCATTTCAGTTACAAGGAGCTGTATACAAAGCACGACCAATTGGAGACATCATGAGGCACATCATGAGGCACACCATGAGGGTGCATTTGTATACACTTGTACCCAGCAACAATTAAATAGACCCTACCCCCAACCTTCTATTACCAGCTCAGTAAAGCCATCAGCGCAGCTTGCCCGTATTTGTTCAGCAGTCAGAGGGCTGTTCAGTACAAAGGGCTTCTTCAGTCCTCTTTCGTTCCTCACACGAGTTACTGCATCTCTCAAAGCGAAGAACACAGAGCATCCCAAGAAAAGTCCTGCCTCGCCTATTCCCTGAAAAGGAAAAAAAGTCATATGGGTGTAGGTTTTGAGCAAATGGGAGGAGAACAGGCCAGATGAAAATTAACTAAAAAGTTTAAATAAGTCATTCAAGAACTGTTTCATCCTTCGGTAAGGAAGTTTATTTTAGATTTAGAGGACGCAAGGTTAGATCACACCAAGTCTTCTGAAGGTAGCTGCTTCTAGTGTGCTAAAAAGGTTGATTTGAAGTGTCAGCCATTGTTTTAGAATCCTTTTGGCTCATTGTTAAACTTAAATTTAGAATAACTAGCAGATAAAATTAAAACTGTCCAAACCCAGGTACAGCTAAAACTAAGGAACACAGCTTGAACTCTTGGTAATTCCCTGCAGACAAATACCACTGACCTCAGTGGGCTTGACATCCTCTCACCAGTTCTGCCAGAAGATTCACATTTGTTTCTTTCCTCAAAAATAGGTCAAATCCACCCTTATTCCATAGTCCTCTCAATGCTGTGGTATTGAATATTTTAATCTGAACTGCATTAGGATATTGCAATTGAATCTTACATATCTTTTGGCTAAAATCAGAGAACCAAGTATTTTCCCCAAATACGCTGCATGAACACAGAATTACCCCTTCCTACAGTGAATTTTAAGGGTAATTATTGGAGATAAGTTCACAGAAAAGGATAGAAGTTCTGTTTGAAGAAGGATATTAGTGTCAGCTCTCTAGATCTCCTCCCAATCAACTATGTTACTGCTTCACCTAGGTGATTTGCTTTTCAAACTCAGACAGTTTTAAATAATTTTGAAGGATCTTTAAAAATATCCTTTAAGAATCTTTTTGTTCTTTATTAACTCTTGCTGTAAAATACGCTTTTTCCTTCTATTGTGCTGTTTCATTTTACTGTGTTCTAAAAGCAAACCTAATATTTGGAACAGATGGAAATTTTCAGAATTACCTTCATATTGATTTACCATTACTATTTATATGAAAGTGACCAGAATATTTGCTGGTGTAAATTGAAACAATGATTACACCAAGTGAAGACTTGAGCCAGTCTCTCATATAAATACACACGTGCAGTCCTATTTTGTATCGCACAGCACGCACAACTAAGCTGCACACTCTCATTGGCTTTATGATTTCTCCATCCATTGCTTTAGTATTTTTATTCTAACCCTTCAGTTTATCACCATATTTTAGAAGTATGGTTTTAAATTTAGCTTGTAGCTTCTGTGTATGGTCTGTTAACAAAACCCTAAAATCACTACTTGCCAGTCATGAAAATGATGCAACAATATCTTGCATTATGTCTTTTCTTATTACCTTTCCTGATGTCATAAATAAAACAATTTACTGGACACTTGTTCAAAATGCTAAAGAAGAAGAACTGAAAATTTATACATGTTTTATACCAGAGTAATTTCTCTGTTTGTTCTGGGATTTAAAATTAGGTTCTGTGATGTTTTGCTTACCTTGGATGCATAGATGGCATAAGGATTTTGGGAAGATGACAGCAGGGAAACACTAAACTGTTCTGGAATATCACAAACAGCAGGGATCTTATACTGATCTGGACCCCGAGTACAGAGGGCTCCTTCTGGAGAGTACTTTAATTCCTCCATTGTGTACAGTCCAATGCCTTGAACAAAAGCACCTTCAATCTTTAAATAAGAAAAGAAATAGCATTTAGTACATATGTTTGGTTCAGTGAGTAAAACTTTGTCAAGAACTGATTTGTTTCATCATCTGTTAAAGAGCCTTTTTCTTTTCTCTTTGACTAATGCAATTCTTCAACATTTTGGGGCAGCTGTGACAATAAAAGCTTTCACACTCCTCTCTCATACCTGAGAGGACAAATACTTTCATGATGAAGTGATGAGATCTGTGGACCAGCCTGCAATGAATAAAGATATTTCCCTGCTATTAGGTAGGCAGGGCAGGTCAAACAACTTGGAGACTGCAGATCACAAACAGAATTTAAGTCCAGTAGACAATAGGCATATATACATATTGTAATATGTAATATTGTAATATGTATTGCCCTCATGGGTAAAATTCAAGCTTCATTGACATCTACAAAGCTCTGACACTAACTCAAATGGGGCAAGACTATAAGCAAAAGACCTTCAAATATGATCTATGATTTCATAATCTAGTAAGAAATGAATGTCTTCTGAACTAATGAGGTAATTCTCACTTCAGATAAGGATATCAATGTAACAGAAATAAGACAGCAGAAAATTCTTTGCATATACCTGTCCTATATCCACAGCTGGATTTATGCTGCATCCAACATCCATAACAATGTCTGTTCTGAGATTCTGTTAAATAAATTCAAATTTATATTATTGAGAGAGATGCATGGAGTGGAGGCATCAGAAGACAATGTGGGTTAGAGTTGGTATTCAGTGAAATAATATAGACTAAGATAGAGGCCCCTCTGTGAACACAACTTGAAAATAATTTCCCATATTCCATTACAAGCAAAATGGGCTTGTCTCAACTTTAACAGAAGTTTAGCCAGAGACAGCCCTGCCAGATTTTTCCCATTGCACAAGGAAATCTCCATATAAATACACACGTAGTATAGATAGGGGGCATATGATCAGCAAGTCTATGAGATTTATCTATCCAAATGGTCAAAAGCTTAGAAATTGAATATTGCTGTAAGTTATTTGCTGACAAACAAGGAGAAACCCAAAAAGTGAACGCATATGACATTAGTACAAGATGTGCCAGAAGCTGGTTAACACTGCACAGCTTTCATTGTGCTCCACTGTAATTTGCGTTTACACTGTTGATATATTTACTGTCATGTGAAGACAGGT